AGGCGGTGGCTCGCGGCAAAGTCAGCGACAAAAGCGACTAGGGTAGAGACACCCTCAGAAGGAGTAGTAGGGTCAGTGACAAGCAACGCAAGCAAGCGGGAGATGACTGGACGAGCAGTGCAAGCAAATTGAGAAAGAGGAGCAGGGGACAGCGGGAGCGACGATTGGGGAGGCAATGGTAGGACGGGCACTGGAAGAGCACAACAACGAAGGACCATAGGATGGACACGAGCATGAGCAGAGACAAAAATACCACCAGGGGGACGACGCACCTAGTGAGGTAGGACGGGGAATGGGGAACAGGGGGGGACGGGGGACAGAACAGGGGACGGAGGAGAGCGAAGGGGGAATTGAACCGAAAGGGAGTCTTTTTGGGGGGGGGGGGGGGGGGGGGCGGGGGGGGGGAACAGCGGGCTGTAGACAGAGTCAGGTGGGAGGGGAGGCACTGTAGGAGGGACGGGCGAGTGGTCAGGGGATCCAAAGGAAATGCCAAGGAGACGAATGGCAGACTGCGGCTGCTGCTACTCCGACAGCTACTACTACTGCAGCAGCTGCTGTGGCTTCTGGCACACGCCAGAACCCCCAGGTCCACTACTGCTACCACCAGGACTCTCCCAGCCAGCACCCCCAGGACTGGCACCCCCAGACCCAGCACCCCCAAAACGTGCACCCCCAAAACCAGCACCCCCAAAGCCAGCACCCCCACAATCAGCATCCCAAGAGTTCACAGACTATCGTCGATGCTGCTGCTGCGGCAAGTGCTGCGGCTGCTACTGCTGCTTCGGTGGTAGCGAGGGAGGTTGCTGAGATGCCTGGGGCACCGGGGCTGGGGGGAGGAGCACCGCAGCTGGGACAGCCGCATCTCCAAAGTCAGCAGACTCCCCCACAGGCACAACCGAGGGGAAAGGAGTGGCGTGGGAGACACCAGACGGAGCCGGGCGAGGTGGGAGGTGATCAGCAAGTGGTGCGGGAGTGAGGAAGAGAGGTGGAGGAGGAACACGAGTGCCATGGTGAGGGAAGCGAACGATGCTGCCCCGGGTGGTAGAACAGCTAGTCATAAGCGTCGAACTGAAACTCGAGGAAGACAAAGGGGACAGTGCAGGCTAAGAGCTTGTCTGCGCTAAAGGCGCGGACGTGAGCAAGGCAGCCCCAGATGTGGAACACAAACGCGTCACTAGGAGACCCAGTCCAGAGGAGGGTCGGTGAAACCTGTAGCTGCAAGGAGTGAGGCCACATGTTAAAGTGGTGAGCCTCGTGGTGCCCCACAGAAAATGGGGGGCATTTACATGGACCATGGAGGTGAGAGCCACCTCCATAACCAAGCTGATGTGATCCTCAGCGAATCCATTCTACCATGGTGAGTCCGGAAGGATTAACGTACCAAGGTGACCGGAAGCAAATTTGCCACCATGGTCGCAGTGCAGATGGAGCACAGACAGGGAGCGCTAGGTGCGGACGATACAGAGTCACGGAATGAGGCCGTCAAGCACGTCACCTTTCCGCTCCAACAGGAAAACAGTGGTGAACCGGGTGGAGTCGTCGACCACAACCAGGAAGTAGCGCTCCCCGCGAGGCCCTTGGGCCGAGGCGAGGCCTCAGACGTCCATGTGCATAGTCTGTAGGGGAGCAGTAGTGGGAGAAAACGAGGAGGAAAGAGGGGCGGCGCGCTGCCGGCCCTCGACGCAAGAGGTGCACGCGGGCGCGAGAGAGGCGAAGAGGACGGGGAGACCAGTGACTAGATCGTGGGAAGCCATGTGACGCAGACGTGGGAGAGCAGGGTGACCTAAGCAGTGGTGCCCACGCGGGGAACTCTGTGTGCAGTATGAAAAGTCCGATTGCAGGTGGCAAATCGGGCAAAGGTGGCAAGTTGGGCACTCGTGGTGGTGTTCGTACAAGCTGTATATCTCTCATAGCCAGGCAACGTGGTGGTGACACCAAGGTCCTGGATATGGCCAACACCAACCAAGTTTAGGAAAACGTGGGGATATGCAAGGCGGTAAGGGTGCCAGACGAGAGAGCCAGACAAGGGAGAGCGGTGGTACTGGGAGAGACGACTGCGGCAAGCAAGTCAGCTAGGGAGACCGGTACCGGTGCAGGAAGTGATGTCAGTGCACTGCGGTCTCGGAAGAAGTAGTGAGACGCGCCGGAGTCCAGTGTGAAGGAGAGGGCCGTCATAGGAGGGGCATGGGAGGAGCCTAGTCAACACGTAGCAGAGGCTCCTAGACTACACACAGCAGTGGGGCCTAGACCCCCACGCCCCCGGGCCTCCAGAGAAACCATGCGGGCTCCAGGAAAACGACCGCCCCCGGGCCCAACCTGCAGAGCCTCCACCGTGCCCAACACCCCTAGGACCCCACCGCAGTGGCTGTCACTGCTGCTGCTGCTGCTGCGGCTACGTCTCAGGGCAGGCATCCCAGTAGCGTACCTCGAGGGCGTGGAGGTGTGCGACGAGCTCACCAGTAATGTGGGCCTCCCGGAGCTCGCAGTTCACGTGCTTGCTCACGAGATGCCGGTGGAGAGCGAGAAGCCAGAGAGCGAAGTCGACCGCCCGGCCTTCGACGTCCAGCCAAGGGACAGACTCGAACGAGGTTGTCATGCCAAAGGGAAGGCAGCAAGGAACTCCAGAAACGAGGAGGAGACTAGTGGGAGGCGCTAGGGGCTGCAGGAGCATGAATGGTGGTAGTGACAGTGGTGGCTGTGGCCGGAGCGGCGGTCTGGCAGCTAGGGGATAGCTGAAAGGCAACTGGATGGCAATTGGCGGCTGGAAGGCATAAGGCGGCAGGCGGCCAGTGGGAGGCAAGAAGAAGGAGCTGGTGGCAGCAGTGAGCGACTGGCGGGAGCAGCGAGCGGCAAGCCTGCGACAGCGGCAAGCAGGCGGCAGACGGCAGCAACAGGCTGGCGGGAGGTCGGCGGCTAAATAGTAGCGGCTGCAGCGGTGACAGAGGCTGTAATGGCAGCGGCGGCCGAAGCGGCGGCGGCGGCGGCGGCAGGAGCAGCGGCGGCGGCTGTAGGAGCGGCGGCGATAGCGGCTGTAGCTGCTGGAGCTGCGGTGGCTGAAGTAGCAGGCAGCAGCAGACGACAGCAGGCAGCAGCGGCTAGTGGCCGGCGGCTGGTGGTTGGCTGGCAGCTGGCGGCGGGCCAGTGGCTGGCGGGCGGCTGGCAGGGAGCGGGGAGCTGGCTGGCGGCTGGCGGCTGGCTGCTGGCTGCTGGCTAGCGGCTAGCGGCTGGCTGCTGGCGGCTGGCTAGTGGCTGGCGGCTGGAGGCTGGCTGGCAGTTGGCGGCGGGCTGGCGGCTAGCTGCCAGGCGGCTGACTGGCTGCGAGCTGGCGGCTGGCTGGTGGCTGGCTAGCGACTGGCTGGCAGCGGCCGGCTGGCTGGCAGCAGGTGTCTGGTTGGCTGCTAGCTGGCGGCTGCCTGGCGGCTGCCTGGCTGCTGGCCGGCGGCTGGCTGGCGGCTGGCTGGCTGCAGGCTGGCAGTGGGTGGCTGGCTGGCAGCTGGCTGGCAGTGGGCGGCTGGCTGGCAGCTGGCTGGCGGCTGGCTGGCAGCTGGCTAGTGGCTGGCTGGCTGCTGGCTGGCGGCTGGCTGGCGACTGGCAAGTGGCTAGCTGGCAGCTGGCAGTTGGCTGGTGACCGGTTGGCTGGCTGCTAGCTGGCGGTTGGCTGGCGGCGGGCAGCTAACTGGCTGGCTAGCGGACTGCGGGCGAGCGGCGGCAGCTGGCGAGCGGCAGGATACGAGCGGGCGGGCGCGAGAGGGCTACGAGGGGGGGCTACGAGCGGACGGGCAGGTGCGACTGCACGGGCAGCTGCGCGAGCGGCGGCAGCTGCGAGCAGCGAGTGGCTGCGCTGGCGGCGGCGCTGGCAGCTGGCTGCGAGCGGACATCAGCGGGCCACGAGCGGCGGCAGCAGGCAGCAAGCTGGCGGCTAGCTAGTGGCGGGATGCTGCTAGCGAGCAGCTGGCGGCGAGTAGGCGGCATCGAGCTGGCGGCGAGCTGGCGGCGGCGAGCTGACGGCTAGCTGGTGGCAGCGAGCTGCTAGCGAGCTGCTGGCGGCGAGCTGGCGGCGGCTTGCCGGCGGCGGCTAGCTGGCGGCTTGTGGGCAACGCGAAGGCAGGGCAGAGGCCTAGGACTAGAGCGTAGGTGAGGACGCAGGCTAGAGCGACGGGCTAAAGCCTGACCTAGGCTAAGGAGGTAAGCTAGGGTGGGAGGGGAGTGGGTAGCGCCTAGGGCGGAAGTGTGACGACTAGGAGCGAGACCTAGCTCTATACCATGTTGAAAGGAAATGTTGGACTAGACGAGGGGAGTACAGTGAGTATATCTAGCTTGTTGTACTCAACACAATCTGCACCCTAACACATGAATATGAAGTCTAACAAATGGATGCCACTGGCATTGATATCACATGCGAAAAGCACCATGTACTGATGCAATTGACATATTGGACCAGAGGTATTGTGCATTCATGCTACTGACATGTGGCGCAAAACGAAGGATTGAATGTTCACATTGACATGAGATGCTGAAAGCATGATAGGTTGATGCAATGGGCAACTGAAAGAATGATGAATGAGGCAGGTGACGACAGAAAGCACGCGGAATTGATTCAACTGACACGAGCATGCTGAAAGCATCACAAATTACTGCAGTTGACCTGCAATGCAAATAGCATCAGATGGTGAACGTAGCATGAATTGATGCCATTGGCGTTGCATATGAAAGCCTGAGGCGAAATCTCTAAGCCAAAGATTTGCTCGCTACCCCTCAGTTTGGTCTCCCTTCATGGATCTGGTTTAGCTCAGGAAAATGCATTCACTAGCAAGAGCCATACAACCTTCCCAAATTACGAGAGAACAAACAGAGTAGCTGTCATACGACGAGCAAGCTCCTTTACGCTACTCCTAGCCGAAGGCACTCCTTCACCCAGGTCCTGCACTCCCTCGAGCTTAGCCTCTTACCAGCACTAATGATTACGCCTCCTCGCTGTCCCCCTGAATCCGGCCCCTCACCTCTCTCACTCTTCTGCATGTCGACCTATCCAGCCGCTCCTGTCCCCACTGAGCTGGACACTGTCTCCCATTCGCCACCTCCAGCTGTCTCGCCCGCTCAATCCCATGAGCTTTTCGACCCATCACTGTACTTCCCCACATTACTCCGCATAACAATCCACTTTACGTATTTTCCTTACACTTTCTACACCTCTTCCCTTCCGCGCTGTCCCATATATCTCATGACACTTTTCCGTTCATGCGATTTATGCGACAGCTGTCGCACACAGCTCTCTCTTCGGGTATCCTGCCACCCAACTAGCCGGGCTCTCCTGTTGGCTGCCTCCGCTTGTATGTTATGAGGCTCTTTGCCCCACTCTCCTGCCCCCTCGCGGCCCGACCCACGTCCTCGTGATCAGGCCGTGACCTCCCAGCGCGCGCCACATTAGACACGTGGTCCCGAACCAGATGGCCCTGCATATTCTGCAGCAACAGGACCCCTGACTCCCTTGTCTCACGTACGATCCACCGCTCCTTACTCAAACCTCTGTCTAGCGTGTCCTTCTTCCGCTCTCTCAGGTACACCTCGTCGCCAATCTGTAGTGCCAACGCCTGACCCCCATTGCCCTCCCCTTGCTTGCGCTGCCTGTACCTCCTTGCGTCTCGCAACTGTGCCACCTCCAAATTATCTAAGGCTGCCGGCATGGCGGTGCGGAGATAACTAGCCCTGGCTGCTGCGATCACGGCCCAAGTCCGCGGGTCCTCAGTAGACACCGCTTCCTTCATGATACGAGGAGCATCCACGGGCAGCACGGGCTCCTTCCCATATAGCAGGAAGTACGGGGAGTAATCCTTCAGCGCTTGCTGCTTACTAAAGCGATATCCCGCCGCTAACCAAGGGAGATGAGTGTCCCACTCCCGCCTATCCTCTTCTTCGCAGTACTTGCGCAACCCCTGCTTTAACGTCTGGATCATCCTCTCCGTCAAACCGTCTGCTTGCGGATGATACCGCGACGTCTGTCGATGCCTGATACCCACGTCGCTTAACATGGTGTCGAACTCACCCGCAAACTCATTCCCCTGGTCGGTAAGCACTTCCCCACACGCTCCAAATCGCGTCAGCACCTGCTGGACAAAAGCCTCCGACACTCCCGCCGCGCTCTTGCGCGCGAGGGCCGCGACTTCAATCCACTTGCTAGTGTGCTCTATCATCACTAGGATATACTGTCGCCCTCTCCTGGATAGTGGTAGTTCTCCTGCCATGACCAGGGACCAGCGGTACCCGATCTGTCCAATGGGCAGAGACTGCAATTCTGCCTTCGACTGCTCCAGCCGTGCCTTGCCTCGGCTGCATGCCTCGCATACCCCTACCACCCCCTTCACTTCCTTTCGCATCCCATCCCACCAGTACATCGTCTGTAGCAGCTGAGTCGTCCGCTCGGCTCCATAGTGCCCCAGCTTAGTGTGCACCTTCAGGATCAGCCCCTCTCGCTCCTCCGGCCTGGGGACTATTCTCCATCCATCCCCCGTCACTAACTGCAGTTGTTCATCCTGCCAACGGTAATGAATCCCCCGGGCCCTCACCCTCTCTGGCACCTCTCCTCCCTCTGGTCCCTTGCCTTGAACCCACTGCAGCACCGCAGCATCGTCCCAAATCTCCCGACAGCCTTTCGCCGCCTCGGACCTCCGAGTCCACCCCTCCTTCTCGGCGGACACCGCCATGAAGGAAAGCACAGTCTCCGCTCCCACCTCTGGTTCCCCAGCTATTGCCGGCCCCTGCCTGGAGAGCCCATCCACATGCTGCAGGGTTTTCCCGGGCCGGTGCTTCACGTCAAACTCGAATTCCTGCAGCCGCATGGCCCACCTGGCATTCCGCCCTTTCAGAGTCTGATTAGTCATCAGCCACAGGAGGGGTTGATGATCAGTGACTAGGGTAAATTCCCTGCCTTGCAGGTAAGGCCGGAAGAGTTCCACCGCCCAGACTGCGGCTAATCCTTCCCCCTCATAGGAACTGTAGTTGCTTTCGGCTGGGCTGCATGACCGACTGGCATATGCTACTACCCTCTCCGTCCCCCCATCCAGCTGGCACAGTACTGCCCCCATGCCACTGCTGCTCCAGTCAGTGTACAACGTGTAGGGCTCATCCGGGCTGGGCAGTTTCAGGACAGGCGCGGTCTTCACTGCTTCCTTCAAGGTCTTCCACGCCAGATCCTGTTCTGCCTCCCACTTCCAAGTCATGTCCTCTCTCAGGAGCAGATTCAAGGGCCTTGCCGTCTTGCTGAAGTTCGGCACGAACTTGCGGTAGTAGCTCAGAAAGCCCAGCTGAGCGCGGAGGGTGCTCCGATCCGTTGGCGCTTTGAGTCTATCGACCACCTCCACTTTGGCCTGCTGCACCGAGAGGCCTCCTTTCCCCACCTGAAACCCCAGGTACGCCACTGTCCTCACCCCGAAATGGCACTTTCCTGGATGGCACTTCAGTCCGGCCGCTTGTATTGCTGCTAGGGCGGCGGCTACATCTGCCACGTGCTGCGACCCATCTTCGCTGAAGATTACCACGTCGTCTATGTAACAGAGTGCTCGAGGTACCTCCCTCAGCACTTGATCCATCACTCGCTCAAACCTCGCTGAAGCGTTCTTCAACCCGAATGGCATATAATTCCATTCGTACAGCCTATCTGGCCCATGAAACGCCGTCTTAGCCTTATCCTCCTCCTTGATTGGTATCTGGTTGAATCCTTGACGAAGGTCCAAGGTTGAGTAGACCTGTCCTGCAGCCAGCTTATCGAAGATCTCCTCGGCCATGGGCATTGGGTATCGGTCGCTCTTGGTGATCCGGTTAAGACCTCGGTAATCCCCACACATTCGTCGGGCCAACGTTTCTCCGGTTAGATCCTTCCTTGCGGCTACCACCGTCGCTGCTGCATATTCTGATGTGGACTCCCTGATCAACCCCGCTTCCAACAGCTCTGCGCATTTTGCAACCGCAATGTCTCTGTCCCCTGGACTCATGCGTCTCCTCCGCTGATACACTGGTTCGTTGCTTTGCAGCTCTATCTCCATCTCAGCTATGGTGAACTTGCCTAACTCCTTCAGAGAGTAAGCGAAGGCTCCCCTTGCCCCTTCCAGTACACGCCGCAACTCTCCCTTCTGCTCTTCCTCTAGCCCGTCTCCCATCTCCCAAGCCGGTGGACTGTCGACTTGCGGTGGCCCCTTTTCTTCTTCTACTGGCTCGCTCTCCCCATCTTCCCTTGTCTCCTCCACGGCTTCTGCTTCTTGCATAGCTTTGGCCAGGAGCGCTATCCCCCGAATGTTCAGCTGGTTTTCTCCTCGCTCTACCTCAGCCCAGGCCTCCGCCTTCATGCGTTGCCAGGCCTCTGCCATGTCGAGCACCTGCGCTGGGTCGCTCTCCAGCATCGTTTGCAGGTCCTTCCACCTCCAGTGCATTAGCAGCTGCATTCTCATCACCTCCTGCCGTTTCTCCGCCCGGTACAGCAACCAAACTAGCGCGTGCTGGTCGATGGCTCCCCCTAGCGCTGCCCTCCTCGCTTCTTCTGAAATCCCCTCCGCCGCCGTCGCGTTTCTCATGTATCCTAGCGCCCTCTCCCTTTCCACCGCCATAGGCTCCTCCCATTGCCCCGTAGCGAGCACTTGCACCATCCCGGGTCCCGGCTCACTGCCTTGCATGCGAAAGGCATAACTGCCAGGTGTTGCCACCAACGTCGGCCAGGCTTGCCTCGGCTCTCCCACTTGGTTGCAGGGAAACTGTGTCTTGATCTCCGGGGTCGTTACCGGTGCCGGCCTCCTGCCCGGCTCTAGAATATCCTGGACCTGCCGCGGCACGGGCCGCTGCATCCTACTCAGTTGATCTCTGAGCACTGGCTCCGGGACCAAGTTCTGCCAGTAGCGTCTCACTCTGTGAGTCCGGGACCCCATTTGTGCTGCATCCCAGGCTACTCCGTGTCCCAACTCTGCCGTCACAGCTTGATGAGCCTCTCTCACCAATGCACGCTCATCGTCCGCCACATCCAAATTCTCCACTATGTAGGATAGCGGTCCTTGTTTCCTCTTTATCAGCTTCATCACTCGGATAAGATCCCGGAGAAGGCCGGTGCGCAGGTCCGATAGCCCCCTGCCCTTGCCCGCCCTGGACAGCCCCTGGCATTCCCATCCGGCCACTAGCAGGTCAATCTGCCCCCAGCTCTCCACCGTCTCCTGAGTAACAGCGCCGACATCGTTCACCGCACTTGCCTCCCTCTCAGCCCTCTCGACCACTTCCAAGGGCAGCCTCTCCGGAAATTCCCGACTGAGGAGCCTTGCATGATGAAATGCCATGCAGCGAACCTCTTCCTTCTTCTCCACATATATCCATCGTGCAATGGTGAACCCCGTGCGTACGCACGCCGCCAATCCCGGTCCAATTCCCCCGAACAACTCTAGCAGGGCTATGGGTCGGTTGAAGCTTTCGAAGTCGTACGTGGGCTCGGTGAGCCCCTTCGCTTCCCGGTACTTTGCCAGTCATGGCCCCGCCGCTTCCTCCCTCTTTCTCCTCTCGCTTGCTCGCTCCAGATATACTCCTGCGTCCTCGAATCTCTGCTCTGGCACCTTCTCCATTGGGGGCCCTCGATATCCGGGCGGACTCCTTAGGAAGCGTGCCGGCAGAGCCACTGCCAAGCTCTCTTCATGACTCAGCTCGTGGTCCCAGTAGCGAGGCTGGTAAGTAACCTTCTCGGTCCAAGTGTCGACCACTGCTCCTATTTTGTAGAGCAGCTCCATTCCCAACAACAGGTCATAGTCGTCTGAGTCTGAGACCAGGCAGTGCACACGAATCCTCGTCTCATCCTCTGCTCCTGGGGCCAGCACCACCTCCTGAGGCCTCAGTGTCCTGGGCAGCCATTTCCCAGCTCCTCCCTCTGCTGTCTGGATTCTGACCCCTTCAGGCGTCACATTCTCCTCTCGGTGCAACCCCAGCCTTTCGGCTAGGCGCCTTCCCACCAGTACTTGTGAAGCCCCTGTATCGATTATCGTAGTCCCGGGGTATTTCCCTTCCACAGCGACTGCTCCCTCCATAGCCTCAACCACGCATGGCTTCGCCGCCATCCGCTCAAATGGATGACGGTGAGGGCCATGCCTGCCCCCTGCAGGGGCCCCGGCTTCGGCTTCTGCTGGTCCCATCCTCCCTGGGGTCGGACTCACTCGGGCTCTCGGCCCTCGCCTCCCCTGCTGCACTTCACGTCGGCGGTCGATCCCTCCGCTGCGCAAGCCAAGCTCCT